CAGAGTCGTCCACGACTGGACCTAATGGTCAAGGGTCCCTTTACCTTAACCTTTGATGGCACAGCCATATGTGCAAGTCATCGCTTGATACTTGAGTCAACACATTTTGCACACCACCTAAATATATAGGTAGCTGTGCAGGACCATAAAAGAAAAAAATGAACAGCAGCACTAGTGTAACACCTTCCAAAAATTACCAAGTATTAAGCAAGCTTGCAAATTGCACAGAGAAAAGAAGAAAAAGTTGCATTGAGAAGTTGGGAAATTAATTGTTAGCAATGAAAGCTGCCGTCTCTTTGAAATTATTTGGATCTTCTCTAGCACTGAGCAAAACACACTCTTCCTTGATGTATTCAGCACATAGCATTTGGACCTCTAAGAAGCAGTAACTATATACTGTTGTGTTGTTTATTATGCTCATGAAGCACTCCATTGGCCAGGTGGCTATGGCATCCGCCTTTATGCCCAACTCCCCAAACTATAACCTATCTTTTTTTATCTTGCATATCTGGGTTAATTAGGGACGCGGGTGGCGCTGTGGGTAAAAGCTTCAGCGCCTAGGGCTTGCCGATCGAAAGGTCGGCGGTTCGAATCCCCGCGGCGGGGTGCGCTCCCGTTGCTCGGTCCCAGCGCCTGCCAACCTAGCAGTTCGAAAGCACGTCAAAGTGCAAGTAGATAAATAGGGACCGCTTACTAGCAGGAAGGTAAACGGCGTTTCCGTGTGCTGCGCCGGTGCTGGCTCGCCAGAGCAGCAATGTCACGCTGGCCACGTGACTCGGAAGTGTCCCCGGACAGCGCTGGCCCCCGGCCTCTTGTGTGAGATGGGCGCACAACTCTAGTGTCTGTCAAGACTGGCCCGTACGGGCAGGGGTACCTTTACCTTTATATCTGGGTTAATTGGCTTCCAACAGTCATTCATGATTTTCTCTCATCTTGCTGTGAGTAAGGATGAGCTGTTCCACTCTGAAAAGCTTTGATGAAACCAGTGGTAAATTCGTTCCAATTGACTCAAACCTACTTTTTGCCCCACTCTTTCTGGGCACAGGTCTGTGCTGGGGTTTTTTCACCCCAGAACTTTCCCCACAAAGAGCACTGGCAGGATTATTGTAATAACGTGCAGTTTTTATAAGAGTATATTTTTAAAGTAGATGAGCAAATTAAGTTAATTTAGATGTGCAGAAAATATTTTTTAAAATAAATTTAAGAAAGAGGGGCAAGGAAGTCAAGTTTTGAAATGTTAAAATGATTGTAAAGTTATTGAAATGTATAAAACTGAAAATCATAAATAAAAGTAAATATATATACCCGTATTTTTTGCCCCATAGGGCGCACCGGCCCATAGGGCGCACCTAGTTTTGGGGGGTAATAAAGGGGAAAATTTTATTTTTCCCCCAGGTGCGGGGCTGGGGTGGGGGAAGCCTGAGCTTCCCCCGACCCTGACCCCAGAACAGGCTGCTATCCGCAGGGATGCAGTCAGCTCTCTGAAAGCTGTGGGAGCCCGGCGAAAGCCTGCATTCATCCCATAGGACGCACACACATTTCCCCTTCATTTTTGGAGGGGAAAAGTGCATCCTATAGGGCGAAAAATACGGTAAGAACTTTCGCCACAAAAACCTGCTTTTTAAAGCTGAAGCGCAACAAACGGCAAATCGAGTTTTCTGCAAATTGCCATTTGCTCCAATTCAGCAGTAAAGAGCAGGTTTTGGCAGGGAAGGTTTTGGGGAGGGGGGGAGAGAAAGAGAGAGCACTCATACACAAAGCTTTAAAGCATTAACTGTGCCTGGAAAGTGTGGATAAGCCCTTGTCTGCAGCTACTCATCTGCTGTGCCATTTCCAGAACCACTGGGCATATAGGAAGTCCTGTGCCCATTCTCAAAATTGTTCCAGATGAAATATGGGTTTAAGGCCCAAATATTGTGTTTATTCTATGTTGGAAAATTAATAAAAAATTTATATATATATATATATATATATATATATATATATATATATATATAAAGGCCCAAATACCAGTTGGGTGTCCCTGATTTAGTCCCCCCCCCCATATGAAACTTTCTACTTTTACCCTGATTTCCTCCATGCTACCATGCTCTGGGAAGTTTTTTTACAAAACGCTAGTAAGTACAGCACTCTGCAATCCTTTGTGCGGTGTTTTGTAAGTTGATATGACAACACAATAACACATAGGAGGTGTTCCTTCAGAGGTAGCCTTTGGAGACCCAGAGATGATCTACATGCTTGACCCAGAGGGCAAATGAGCCCTTGGCCTTATAATAGGAAATATAAAATCATAGTGGTGGGAAAGACTATTAGCTCACCCAGCCTCTGGCTTTGCCAAATTAAAATTGTTTCCTTTGGTAGGGTTTCTAGTGCTGTGACGAATTCCATTTTAGAATCTCTGTATGAATCGATTGCTACAATTTCCCTGGTAAAGGTAAAGGGACCCCTGACCGTTAAGTCCAGTCGCAGATGACTCTGGGGTTGCAGTGCTCATCTCGCTTTACTGGCCGAGGGAGCCGGCGTTTGTCTGCAGACAGCTTCAGGGTCATGTGGCCAGCATGACTAAGCTGCTTCTGGCGAACCAGAGCAGCACACGGAAACGCCGTTTACCTTCCCGCCGGAGTGGTACCTATTTATCTACTTGCACTTTGAGGTGCTTTCATACTGCTAGGTTGGCAGGAGCAGGGACCAAGCAACGGGAGCTCACGCCATCGTGGGGATTCGAACCGCCGACCTTCTGATCGGCAAGCCCAAGAGGTTCAGTGGTTGAGACCACAGCGCCACCCGCATCCCTGGTGCTTAATATTAAATGCAAAGAAACCAGGTTGCCCCCAATATGCATGTGACGTTACTCATGTTGCACATTGTGTGTGTGACATTTGGAGGAGACGGAGCATTCTAGAGGAGCTGCCCACTGAAGCTGGGACACGTGACGCGTAATGCATGTGACTTCATGAACATGTGACTCATGTCAGGCCCCTTCAACATTGAGAAGACCGGGGCCCCTTCTAACAAATATTGAGGGGGCCAAAGACACCTCGGCCCCCTAGAGTTGGCAGACCTGATTAAATGGACTGGTGCATCATACCTTTAGGAAGTGTTTTTGGCATTCTTTTTTAAAAATAATACAGTGGTACCTCAGGTTACATACACTTCAGGTTACATACGTGTCAGGGGCTCAGGAGCAGAGGCACAGGAAAGGGAGGAAATAGAGAGCGAGGGGGAGGAATCCAAAGGAAATGTTAGCGATGACAGCGGCCCGAGGTCTCTGAGTCTTTCCAGCGAATCGGAAGATTCACAGAAAGGGGCTCCCATGGTCAGAGCAAGGGGGGTGCCTAGGGGGACACCCCAGGAAGAAGGGGCCAGAGGGGACTCAGAGAGCAGCAGTTGGAAATCAGGACCAGCTTCCCCACCAGAGCGCAGTAGGGGGGAGGAGTCCCAGGTATCGGGATCAGGCGGCTCACCGCCAGCGGGAGGAGATGAGTCAGGATTGGCCATTGGAGAGCGAGGAAACGGTCAAGAGGAAGGTTGGAGGCTGGGCGCGCGCGCCAAGTTCAAATGTACAGGAGGGCGGCGCAGTGGGTAGCCCGGATAGGGAGCCAGGTCCTAAAGCCCGCCGAAAGGAGGGGGAGGAGTCAGGGGGGTCAGCGTCAGCGTCAGAAGAGTCCAGAAAGGAGGGGACCCCGGGGGGCAGAAGGACCCAGAGGAGAAAGGAGAGACGGAAGAGGTGGAGTAAGGTTAGAGTCTTAAACTGGTGTACAGGGGGTGGAGACTCAGATGGAGCTTCGCCGGTCTAGCTTCTAAGACGTAGAGCTGCGCGCTGCGGCTTGAAAATGGAAACTGTACTTCAATAAAGACTTTTGTACATTACTACCGGCTAGTGTTGGTCCTCTGTGAGCTGGGACCTGGAGGCAGCTCTGACAATACGCTTCAGGTTACAGACTGCGCTAACCCAGAAATAGTACCTCGGGTTAAGAACGTTGCTTCAGGATGAGAACAGAAATTGTGCTCCGGCGGCATGGCAGCAGCAGGAGGCCCCGTTAGCTAAAGTGGTGCTTCAGGTTAAGAACAGTTTCAGGTTAAGTACGGACCTCTGGAATGAATTAAGTACTTAACCTGAGGTACCACTGTAATAATAATAGAGTAAATCTCTCTTAGGACAGAACTATACATGGACCAACAACAGCCTTGCATCCAGTCTTGGCTTCTCCCAAGCATGTAATATACAGGTATCCCGCCATTTACATGGGGGTTACACTCTGGGCCTTTGCACGCATAAGAGAAATTGCATAAAGTGAGGAGCACCCCACTTTAATAGGGAGTGGGGGGGGGAGGAGAGAAAGAGAGAGAGAGAGACACTCATGTACCAAGCTGTCCTTTGATCAGGGCCACTGCCCGGCATGGCTTCCCTCACTCACTTCTGGGCAGCAGCCCCAAGTGAAGGAAGGCTAATCTATTTATTTCTTTATTTTGTGGTGACCTGCAGTTGCACACAAGTGGGGTGTGTGTAAGTGTGTGGTTGGGGGGTGTTCCTGTACTACAGTTTATCCCCATGACCTCACATTGTTCTGTTAAATTTCTTCTACACACCTCCATACACTTCAAGATTTCTCCGGTGAAAATGGGGGCATCCCATTCCATAATGATAATTTTACTATTTATGCCCCACACATCTTACTGGGTTGCCCCAGCCACTCTGGACAGCTTCCAACATATATAAAAACATTTTTTAAAATAAAATTCCCCTATACAGGAATGCCTTCAGACAGCTCTGTGGGTCGGATAACTCCATACCCTCCAACATTTCTACCAATGAAAATAGGAACGTCCTAAGGGAAAGTGGGACATTCCGGGATCAAATCAGAAACCAGGAAGGCTTCTCTAAATCAGGGACGTCCCTGGAAAATAGGGACACTTGGAGGGTCTGCACCTCCCCTCCATATATATAGTGCCTCCGTCACACAATTCCTGAGCAAAGAACATCATTCAGATACAATAACATGTCGTTAAGGACAGCTATTGTAAGACATATGACTATATCAGCCAACCTCCTGCTAGGTGAATCCCACATGGTGATATGCAAATGTGCAGAACCAAATTTAAGATGGGAAAAATGAGTAACTCAGAGAAACTGAAATTGACATATTCACCCAATATATTGCACCCAACCCTAGTTGGATTTGGGGCGGGGGGGGGAGTGACCAGCTGGTGTTGTGGGATGCCACTACCACTAAATAGACAGTGGGGAGGAGGGAGATGAGCCTACTTCATCAGGGGCTTTTGGAGTACTTTCACCCCCTCTCAAAAAATAATCAAGCCAGAAGTTTGCTTTACCGAATTTTCAGCTCAGCACTAAACAAGTCCCATAAAAGGTAAAAGTAAAGGACCCCTGATAGTTAAGTCCAGTCACGAAAGACTCTGGGGTTGCAGTGCTCATCTCGCTTTACTGGCTGAGGGAGCCGGCGTTTGTCCGCAGACAGTTTTTCTGGGTCATTTGGCCAGACAGACAGTTTTTCCGGGTCATTTGCTTCTGGCAAAACCAGAGCAGTGCACGGAAATGCTGTTTACCTTCCTGCTGGAGTGGTACCTATTTATCTACTTGCACTTTGATATGCTTTCGAACTGCTAGGTTGGCAGGAGCAGAGACTGAGCAACAGGAGCTCACCCCGTCACGGGGATTCGAACCACTGACCTTCTGATCGGCAAGTCCTAGGCTCAGTGGTTTAGACCACAGCACCACCTGTGTAAACAATTCCCATAGCCCTAAAAATGGGGGGTGAATATTTGCACAACAGGGGAAGAGGGAGGTCTGTATGAGTCTGTGGGTACTCCAGGTCTCCCTCAACATTTATGTTTACTCCAGGCTAATGTCCCCCCTTAACTAAGATTTGAGAATCGATCCCAAAGGCTGTTTCCAATTTCTGGTTTACACACACACAAAAACTCCAGCGTTGCCAAGCACAGTTAGCATCAGTGTATATGTAATGTTAAGATTTAATTAAATTATTATTAAAATTCCAAAGGAAATTTGGGAGAGAGGGGAGAGGATGGATTTTATCCAGAGAAAGGAATGTGCTAGAATGATTTTTTAGTTTTCAGATCCTGACTTGTAGGGGGCCAGTGTTAAGTTTACAAAGGACCTCTGTTGTCTAAAAAACCTGCTGTACAAATTAAGATTTGTTTAGGGAGCTTAGTGTGGGAAAGGAAAATATCTCAAAGGAAGGAGTATCTTCTGAAGGAGAATCTGAAGCCGCTGTTCTCTTTTTTAATTGTGTTTTGTCTTTCTAGTCTGGCTTGATAAGGACGCAGGAAGCTGATTACTTGCTGAAACCACTACCTCCAAATATTGCACTTAAACACAACTTCTCTGCTCCTCACGGTCACCGCCCTCATGTACTGTATAAGAGATCTACTGAGCCTCAGCTGGCATTTGATAATGAGGTAACTGTGAATGATGAGAGGCAAAGGGAAGTGGATGCTCACAATCATGTTTTTCAAGAGACCCACCATCATCGCAATTCTGAGCGGCGGCAAAAACTGCACTTTTGTGGGAGGCGCAAGAAATGTATGTAAGGACACAGTTTCCCCCACCTGAGTTAATTCCACTGTCTGTATAGCTGTTGTTAAGATTGTTCATTTGCAGTTCAGTTGTTCCTTTCCAGTAAACAAATACCTTCTCAAGTAAGAGGTAGGAAGTGAGGTTATGTGAACACTTTGGACCCAAGCGTTGGATGTTGGTGTTGCATGTCTGCCTCAACCAACTTTGACGTCAACTGTGAAAGCAGTCTCCTCTGATCACTCCTGTAGTCCCAGCCTGTTGCCATGTTCTGGTTTCACTTCTGACTTTTTTTGTTCCTAAAGTTAGCACACAAAAGACTGGTACTGAGCTTTACCAGGGTGTTTGTTCCCTAACTGTGTGAGCGGTGATTTGGATGAACATATCACTGTGTTCTTTGTTCTGTCCTTCAACTTTTAGTAAGGTCTTTCAAAACGGTTACATTTAGTTAGGTGCAAATCAAAATATTTGCCAGTATCTTCTTAAACTTCTTTGGCACAATTCAGCCAATGTAAAGTATGCCTTAAGTCTCATTGTTTTTGATTCTTTAAGGTAAGCTACTTAGAGATTTGTATTATATTAAGCAGTATATTTTTTAATAAATATCTTTATTTAAACAGGAGAGATGTAGGTGTGTACTTAATGGACCAGTTTGAAATCAATAGAACTAAAAGAGTAAATGTTTTTGTACAATTTTGCAAAGTTAGTGGCCGTGTAGTAGTGCACAGTAGCCTCTGGCAACATTGCCTAAGCTAACAGGTTTGGTACTAACATTTACGGGAGTCGGGTGAGGGGTGAGGAGAACCTTTCGGCTTCTAACTGTTGCTGAACTACAAGCATGGCCAATGGTCAGAGATGATGGAAGTTGTAGTTCAACAACATCTGGAGAGCCAAAGGTTCCCTGCACCTGAGTGGAACAGTGTGGTTCCTGTCTCCATCCTCTATTTCTCCAGTGACACCTGCATATGGGAAATCAAACAGGAATGATTAATAATGTTCTGTACAGTGTGCATGAAACACTAGATGGGAAAGAAAGGGTTGGAGCAGAATGTTAAGAACCTTAGTGGTGTTGAGTTGCTTAAAAATATCAGTAAACACTGCCCTCTGGAAATGTATTAAGTTATTGCCACACGTACTTGACCCTTCCCAGGGCTGTGGGTCTCTGAGATCTCAGCACAAGGCTTTCATTGCTACAGGAGATCCATTAACTTGCAGGTAGCTATGCTGTGGCCATCAAGACGATGCTGGACTTCCTTTGGTCCCTGCCAGCATGGCCAATAGTTTTGGGATATTGTAGCCCATCTAAAGTACCACAACTTAGCTACCCCTGCTTTAACTGGAGACACTAAGGTGCCCTTCTGCCTTATAAATGGATGCCATGCTCTGCTATAATTCTTTCCAACTACATGGAAGTTACTTTTTGGGAGCCTAGTATAATCCTGTTCACGTGTTTAGCTCTTTGATTTGACGTTACACTGTGAAAAACACAGCTTTAGTTTTATTTGGACATCTCCTGTCTTGCTTCTTGCAGATATGCCCCAGCCTCCAGATGGAGACACTTACATCCTGCCAGATGAATATAGATATCTACTGCGAAGCAAACGATCTCTTATGAAGGCTCACAAGAGCAAAGAGCTGAATGTTGAGACCTTGGTGGTGGTTGACAAAAAGATGATGCAAAACCATGGCCATGACAATATTACTACGTACGTCCTGACTATACTCAATATGGTATGATAGTCCTTTTTCTTGAGACACGTTGGGTGATGAATACAGATTCAAAATTAATATTGTCACTTTATAAGCATGTTGAGCCACTAGTTTGTACTCTCTTCACCCCTCCAGATGCTTTCTGGAGTGAGACTGAGAGTATTCCCTCCCCTCTCCCTGGCCCTTACAGCTGCTTCAAACACAGGTTGTGGGGAAACGACCTCACTGTGTTTCAAGCCGCTAAAGTGTATATAGCCTTAATGCTTTGTGGCATGTCTGATTTAGTTAATCTTTAGTTTTCCTGAGAGTGGAGCGATGAGATCTGTGCAACATGGAAGTAAAAGTTAATGAACCACAAATGTCGCCCTTGTTGCACATTGTTTTGTGCCCTGCAACCCTGAAATCACGTACCGATTTTGCAGGAGGAAGGTTAATTTGATGCATGTTGTATGGGTTTCTTTCTCCTTTGAAGTATGGGTATGATCTGGCAAAAATTGAGCACGTTTAAGACTCATTGATTGCAGCGAAAGTGTTGAGCATGTCTTTTGGGGCCAGCACAGTTATAGAAGCAAGCTTAGGCAGCTACATGGGCTGCCAAACTTCTAGGGGTACCACCTCCCTTGGCTGTGTAAATGTCTTGGAGAAATAGCCACAGCCTCTAGTTGGAGGAGTCTCATCAGCTAGGCTGACAATCCATGCATCCAGCGAACAAGATCAAGAGCTTTCTGATCACTATCAGGGTGTGGGCATCCAGGATGTAGACATAGTTGTAAAAAGGAGGAAGTAAAGATGTGGCAGACATTATAAATGAAAACAAGAAAATAATGGCCCCAGACCACCCTTGACCATAAATGTGCCTTTTTGTTCTGTTGCTCAGGGAGCAATCTTGTGCATAACTCCCCCTTTGAAATCAGTAGGGTTTAAGTACCCGACTTTGGTTAAATTTAAGGTTAAGGGACCCCAGCCCGTTAGGTCCAGTCGCAGATGACTCTGGGGTTGCGGCGCTCATCTCGCTTTATTGGCCAAGGGAGCCGGCGTATAGCTTCCGGGTCATGTGGCCAGCATGACTAAGCCGCTTCTGGCAAACCAGAACAGCGCACGGAAACGCCGTTTACCTTCCCACCGGAGCGGTACTTTGACGTGCTTTTGAACTGCTAGGTTGGCAGGAGCTGGGACGGAGCAATGGGAGCTCACCCCGTCGCGGGGATTCGAACTGCCGACCTTCTGATCAGCAAGCCCTAGGCTCTGTGGTTTAACCCACAGTGCCACCCGAGTCCCTTGGTTAAATTAAAAGGTAAAGGTAAAGGTACCCCTGCCCATACGGGCCAGTCTTGACAGACTCTAGGGTTGTGCGCCCATCTCACTCAAGAGGCCAGGGGCCAGCGCTGTCCGCAGACACTTCCGGGTCACGTGGCCAGTGTGACATCGCTGCTCTGGCGAGCCAGAGCCGCACACGGAAATGCCGTTTACCTTCCCGCTAGTAAGCGGTCCCTATTTATCTACGTGCACTTAGGGGTGCTTTCGAACTGCTAGGTTGGCAGGCGCTGGGACCGAGCAATGGGAGCGCACCCCACCGCGGGGATTCAAACCGCCGACCTTTCGATCGGCAAGCCCTAGGTGCTGAGGCTTTTACCCACAGCGCCACCCGCGTCCCTTGGTTAAATTACACTGCATTAAAAAAAACACCAAAAGAATTGCAACAATCTGTTGTTACGTGTAACAACAACGAAAAGAAAGAGTCCTATGGCATATTAAAGGTAAACATATTGTGGCATAAGCATTGATAGGCCAGATACATAAGCAAAGTTACAAGAGTAATATATATATATTCATTGTTTAATGGGCACATTTCCAAGCACTTTTCCATAAGCAGGAAATAGCAGCATGGCGTTTGTATGAAACCAATATAGTGGTACCTCGCAAGACGAATGCCTCGCAAGACAAAAAAACTCGCAAGACAAAAGGGTTTTTTGTTTTTTGAGCTGCTTCGCAAGACGATTTTCCCTATGGGCTTGCTTCGCAAGACGGAAACGTCTTGCAAGTTTGTTTCCTTTTTCTTAACACCGTTAATACAGTTGCGACTTGACTTCGAGGAGCAACTCATAGAACGCGGTGTGGTAGCCTTTTTTGAGGTTTTTAAAGACTTTGGTGATTTTTGAAGCTTTTCCAAAACTTTCCCGACACCGTGCTTCGCAAGACGAAAAAAATCGCAAGACGACAAAACTCGCGGAACGAATTAATTTCGTCCTGCGAGGCACCACTGTAGATTGTATTCTAGCCCTAATTCTGAAATACGAGGGGCCCCCTCAGTGTTGACCTCCCACCAGCTCCTGAAGACATACCTGTTTAGGCAAGTGGTTCCCTTGCCTAAGAGAGCTTCTGGTTTTGGTGTTTTAACTGTTTTAAGTGTTAAACCTTTTAAATTTTTGCCTTATTATATATTTTAATTAAGCATGTTTTAATGCCCAATGGATTTGTCATTGATTACGTGTTGATTTATAGTTGTAAACTGCTTAGGCCCCATTTTGGCATATAATCAGTATATAAATCAAATAATAAAGATAATTAATTTTTCACGGCAGAATAGGGTACTGCATTAGCTTCATCAGCTTTCATTTTTGGTATTTCCTCTTAGGTTTCTGCTTTGTTCAGAGATGGAACCATTGGAGGAAATATCAATATCGCAGTTGTTGGCTTGATACTTTTGGAAGAAGAACAGGTAATCACGAATATTGCGCCGTTTTCTTTGAAGCTGAATAATTAAACATCATTTTACTATTAGAGACCCCCCACTCATTATTGTCAAAGTTTAGTCTGTCAGACTTATGGCAGAAATGGTTTTGCAAGAGTGAAGCAACTAAACTCTGGCTGGTGGAAGCCCAGACTCAAGCTGCCATGACACCATCTTCCACCAAACGTCTCCTTTTCAAGCTCAAATTTCCCTGTGTTTTCCCCGTGGCTGAGAGTTGTGCTGACTCCATGCTCAGTTCTAATCAGGGGTTGGTTTTTAGTGATCATTGTTAACTGGCTCAATTCTAAGCAACCCATGCTTAGTGTGGACCGTGGTTAACCACAGTGTCACCAGAACCCATACTGATGTTTAGAGATGGTGGAGAAATGCTGTGTGTAAGAATGGAGGTTCAATAGGAACTCTCAGCTCACTCCCAGTCCCCAACCATGTGTGCCTAACTCCACTAGACACACTTTGATTTGGAACACGCTTCTAACCACTTAAAGAAGCGCTTCTAACCACTTAAGGAAGCACTTAAAAACTCCATACTTGGAGATACAGAAACCCTGTATCGTTCCTACATTGAGCCCCACAAGAACAGCTCCTGATCCTCACTATTCCAGCTGTTACAATTGTGTTGACAGGGACATGAAAGCCTACTCTCCCTTCATTTACTTGCCTCTTTCCTTTTTTGTTTTTGAGTTGTCTCCAAACCCCTGTGCAGTGGAACGCTCTACTAGCAATGTAATGCTTCATTTTATGTGCTGAGCGATCAGGACTCCTTAAGTGACAGGTTAATTACAATGAATGTTTAGCTTTTCGTGCTTGGACCACGTCCAACATGAAAAGAGTAAGGAGAGTAATCTTTTGATCTTACACCTGTGATATAATTGTCCTTTACATCTTATGCTTAAAAATTGCTGCTCTGTAATTGTAAATCTGTTGCTTACTGCGCCACTGCTTACACTTCTTACTTTTGCAGCAAAGGGAGTTAAAGGAACAGTTAGTACTTGTTAATTTTATAAGGGCAGCTTTTAGTTAGTTACAGCATAATTCTAACCTTGCCTACTCAGAAGTAAATTCTGTTAAATTCAAATGGAGTTTACTTCTTGGTCAGTAGAGGTTACGTGAACACTTTGGACCCAATCCTGTCCATTGGGTACTCTTAGTCCAATCAGGCTTTGCTGATTTTTTTTTTACTTTTATCCTTTGTTCCTGTTATTATGTCGTATAACAGATTTTGTAAAAAGGAGGAAGAAGTATTGGACAAACATAATTATATTTATATGATTATATGATTTATTTTAAATGATATTTACAACCTGTTTCTGATATTTTGGAACTCGTGCTCCTCTCCCTTGCTGGTTTTTTTTTTTTCTAAAGAGGAACCTAGAGCTAAGATTCATACTATCCTAGAGTGCTTATGTTTAATGATGAAATACAATATATTTCAAATTTGGATACCACAGTTCATATAGCATATACAGTCGTACTTTGGTTTTCGGATAGCTTACTTCCAGAACGTTTTGGCTCCCAAACGCCACAAACCCAGAAGTGACTGTTCTGGTTTGCGAACTATTTTTGGAAGCTGGACATCCGACGGGTCTTCTGTGGCTTCCGATTGGCTGCAGGAGCTTCCTGCAGCCAATCAGAAGATGTGCTTTGGTTTCCGAACATTTTAGAAATCGAACGGACTTCCGGAACGGATTCCGTTCGGCTTCCAAGGTACAACTGAAGAACACTGATTGACAGGTCAGAGCAAATGGCAATTGGGGGAAAACCCAAATTGCGGTTTGCTCTGATTGAGAGATAAGCGTCGTAGTGCCAATGCCCAGGGTGCGCACACATGCCGGGCAGGGTGCAGAGGGTGAACGGAGCCTGTCCCACCAGCTCCTTGCCACTGGAGCCAAGTGGGGCCACACTGTGGCACCTGCCAGCCCACAAAGGAAGAAGCCCAGCTGGCAAATTGGAGGGTGAATCCCCCTGACGCCCGCAGAGAGGAGTGCCAGGCCACACTGGGGTCGCCCCTTGCCTGCCTCCCTTCCTCTGTGTCTGCTCACCATCTGTGCAAGGAGCAAGCAAGCTGTGGCCAAGCAGCCATTCAGCGAGGGGGCCAGGGACATAGCGGTAAGGCCAAGCCAGGCTCCGAGACTGTGTCTTTCCCTTTAAACACCTGCTTGTTTTTATCAACTCGCCCACAGCTACAAAACTAAATCTCATTCCCGGTTCCCATTGGACTTTTTCTTCTGTTTGACTCTTCCGTTCAGCCAGGGCTCATGATCAATCACCACGCTGACCATACCCTGAGTAGTTTTTGTCAGTGGCAGTCCGGGCTGATGGGAAAGGATGGGAGCCGCCATGACCATGCAATTTTGCTTACCGGCCTAGATATATGTTCCTGGAAGAACGAGCCATGTGATACGTTAGGTGAGTCCTTGCTGGCAACCTACTGTGGTCATCGCTGCTGAAGCATTAACCCCTGCACTTAAAGGCCTTGGCAAAATCAATGTATTTTGCTGATGGTGCTAAATACCTAAAATCCAGTGTCTGGCTTGACACTCAACCGGCTAAACACATATTGGCCCTATTATTTCACAACTGACTGGCATGATTACACTCTAGCAACTGACCCTATCTTATGGTTACCAGACAACCCCGTTTCCTGGGGACAGTCCCCAGATTTACAAATCTGTCCCTGGACAAAATCTGTCCCTAGAATGTCTCCGAATTTCATTTAATGTCCCCGGGTTTTTATTTTAAGTGTTGTAGATTTATTAGTAGGGAATGAATGTTGCGTGATTGGTTCAACGGCACAGGACACGTCATATGGAGACTTCTGGCGAGGTAAAATGGCGGGTGTCACAGCAGCGAGCAGCTCCTGAAGCCAGCCAGAGCCAACTGCACTACCAGGCTGGCTCCAGGCTGCTGAGACTGCCTTTGCCTTTGCCGCCACTGCCAAGGGGGAACCAGGGACACCCAGTGCATCAACTGGGGGAACCGCTGACACCCCCCCATGTGACCCAAATTGAGCTGGGAGTGAGAATGCCCGGCCACCCGGACGACTGTCCAGCAGCACTCTGGGGCCAGGAAAACCTTGGAGCCGACTCAGGGAGAAGGAGGGGAGAGGAAAAGAAATAGAAAGAAAGAGGAAAGAGAAAAAAGGGGGGAGCTCCGACCTTGCCATGCCACTGCCGCTGCCACAGCTGAGGAAAAGAGGTAGGAGAGCACTGGGAGGGCAAGGATATATGGCCAAGCCGATGCCCGACCCTAGCCTACTCCACGGTGGCTAGCGCTCCAAAAGAGGAGGCCCGGGCCAAGAGGAAGGCCGTGGGACCGAGGAGACCACAGAAGAGAAGATACTACTTCTTAATTTTCTTTTTAAAAAATAACCTTTTTTTCTCTTTTCTCACAAAAAAAAAGTGTCCCTGGATTCTTTGAAAAAAAATCTGGTAACCTTACCCTATCTTGCCCTCTGAGAATTGCTACCCAACATGACCCACAAATGTCAACAGTGGTGGAATAGTTGCAAACTAATGGGCATCTGTAGGAATAGAATTTGAGGGTTGATGTTGAACAGGGATCTTCTGTCCCGTCCTGTCCCCCCACTCCTGTATTCCTGGAGCTTCTCAGAGAACAATGGAATATATAAATAAATAAATTGGGATTCTGCAGTCCAAAACCATACCGCCTCCCGGTGTATACCCTTTTGATTCCTCAGGGCAGGACATCAGTGTGATAAATGCTGGAATTAAAAACGGCCATCACAAGCTATCAGATGTTTGCCATGGGTTTTGCAATATTCAGGTGATGGGAGAGAGATGGCTCTATTTTGTTATCCAGTGTAATAGCTCTGCCAATACCTCTGGTCAGGAATTAGTGGTGTGCTCAGGGTGTGGGTGTGAGAGAGAGAGGAGGGATCCAGTTGCGCACTGAGATACATAAAAGCAGAGAAAGCAGTTCCTTTCTAATTCGTATCACAACACGGAGGCTGTGTGACGGTGGCAGCAACAGTCTACTTTGCAAAAACCCAAGTATTACATATGCATTTTGCAGCCAACAGACCAAGTTCTTTTGTGCTTTCTTTTTTGGTATTTGGTAAACTAACATTCACAAAGACAATTTCCTAATGAATGCTGTTTCCCCTCCCTTTACGTTTAATTTACCAGGATTTGCTCCAATAAATGGAATGTGCAGTAAATATCGCAGCTGCACAGTTAATGAAGATACTGGACTCGGTCTGGCATTTACTATTGCTCACGAGTCTGGACACAAGTAAGTTTGTATGCATATCTTTGGAAAGAGATACTAGATGTTTGTTTGTTTGTTTGTTTGTTTGTTTGTTTCCAGCATCCTTTTTAACAGGTGAAGTAGAAATTTGTTGTGCTTCAGTTAAATATCTGGTGACAAGCCAAATGACTGTTTGAGCAAACTGTGGTTAGAATTCAAACTGTGATATGATCTTCCAAACAAAACATATCGTAATTTAGGTCTGCTTGTTTGCCTTCGTGTTTCATCTGCTCAGCGTTTCGGAGTTCAGATTCTATGGCTTTGGGGGCTGGAACAATGGCTGGGACTATCACCCTAGGTGAAGCATTGTATTGGGTAAAAGTATTCAGTGGGAATACTTTTCAAAAGAGTCCTTAAAAATTATTGATAGTTTTTTTCTAAAAACTTGTCAGGATTAAAAATGGTGCACAACAGAGAAAGCTCTCTTACGAATTTGCAGTTCAGAGTGCTGGTATTATTAGGTAGTATTTATATAGGAGAATGCAAGTTAATCAATTTTTCCTCCTGCAGCTTTGGCATGATCCATGACGGAGAGGGAAATATTTGCAAAAAGTCTGAAGGTAACATCATGTCACCCACGCTGGCAGGACACAATGGGGTCTTCTCCTGGTCAGCTTGTAGCCGTCAGTATCTCTACAAATTTCTAAGGTATGCATGTTGTGGAAATGAGAGTTGAGTCACTGAAAACTTTCCTTCCTGCCCCCCACACTTTTGAAAAAGGGAAATCTGGATGTTTTAACTTACCTGTGGCTCAGTATACCAGAGCAGATAGATAACATTCATAGATCTCTTGGGATAGTGGATTGACTGGGCATTTGCTAGGCCCCAAGACCAGCCAAGGGCCCACTGTCGCAAGAATGCTGCCTTTCACACTATATGGAGCATAACAAAAAATAGAGGGAATAATAATAATAATAATTTATTATTTATACCCCGCCCATCTGGCTGGGTTTCCCCAGCCACTCTGGGTGGCTTCCAACAAAGTATTAAAATACAGCAGTCTGTTAAACATTAAAAGCTTCCCTAAAGAGGGCTGCCTTCAGATGTCTTCTCAAAGTCTGGTAGCTGTTCTTCTCTTTGACATCTGGTGGGAGGGCGTTCCACAGGGTGGGTGCCGCTAATGAGAAGGCCCTCTGCCTGGTCCCCTGTAACTTGGCTTCTCGCAGTGAGGGAAGCGCCAGAAGGCCCTCAGCGCTGGACCTCAGTGTCTGGGTAGAACGATGGGAGTGGAGATGCTCCTTCAGGTATACTGGGCTGAGGCTGTTTAGGGCTTTAAAGGTCAGCACCAACACTTTGAATTGTGCTCAGAAACATACTGGGAGCCAATGTAGGTCTTTCAAGACCGGTGTTATGTGGTCTCGGCGGCGGCTGCCGCATTCTGGATTGGTTGTAGTTTCAGGGGCAACCTTCAAAGGTAGCCCCACACAGAGCGCATTGCAGTAGTCCAAGCGGGAGTTAACTAGAGCATGCACCACTCTGGCAAGACAGTCCGCGGGCAGGTAGGGTCTCATTCTGCGTACCAGATGGAGCTGGTAAACAGCTGCCCTGGACACAAATTTGACCTGTGCCTCCATGGACAGCTGTGAGTCCAAAATGACTCCCAGGCTGAGCACCTGGTCCTTCAGGGGCACAGTTACCCCATTCAGGACCAGGGAGTCCTCCACATATGCCCGCCTCCTGTCCCCCAAAAACAGGAATATGTTTTAATGCTCTGCCTCCTCTAGGATTCGGGGCAAGGGGCGTCCACTCAACTTTTCTACTCCATTTTACCAACTAGCATTTGCTTAGGTAAGATAAGTCAGAAAGCTTATCACAAACAATTTTTAATCAAGAAGGTTTACACTTCACTTGATAAAGGATTTCCTTTATCATGAGGCTCTTAATCTCAGGGCTGTGGGTTTGAGCTCAAGGCACCATACATGGTTCTCTCCTCATGCTCCTATTTTTCCCTCACAGCAACCCTGTGAAGCAGGTTAGGCTGAGAGAATGTGACTGTCCCAAGGTCACCCAGTGAGCTTTGTGGCTATGTGGAGATTTGAACCTGTATCTCTCGACAAAGAATTTCACTACCTTGGGGCTGCGTTCACATCGCAGTTTATTCCGTTTTCCTAATTGCTACGTTCTGCATTATATTTGAGCATTCACATGATGTAAAACCTACATCTGGAACAATAGTGGAATGTGGTGCAAATTTAGTGTTCATTTCCATGTTACAGTAAGCCCACAACTTACATGCATTTAATTTGTGCACATTCAGCTTCATGTGCTTGGCAAAAAGAAGAAAGAAAGAAAGAAAGAAAGAAAGAAAGAAAGAGGTGGGCGTCCGAAAAAAAAATATACTTAGGCAATCCTATTCAGTAGTGTACCCAATGTGTTATGACCATATGTGATTTTGGCTTTAGGCATGATCCCCAGAACATAACCCCCACACAAGTTGTGGGCTTACTGTATTTGCTTCCAGGGGGTAAATCGGGTCCTCCCTTAAAGAGGGCATGTATTGCTGTGAGACCCGGCAAACCGACGCCCTGTGTTGTGGGTGGGTACAATTGGTCAGCCACAACACCCGATTGGTAGGTCCCTTGAAGCTGGGTACAATCTGGCCAATGGGATGCAGCCCAAATGGATCGAGGGACCTATTTATGCCCATGAACGTGACCCAGAGCTTCCTCTTTTGGCACGTGCATTCGGAACACCCGCCCACCTCTCCCTACTTTTAGGGCTTTGCGATTGACCTTGCTATGGTGTCGTGTGTCGTCTGTCGTTGGGACAGGGGCACAGCAGGAATTTTCCCCACTTGGCAGATTGGCTGTTGCCATTTGGGTTTCGTCTGCCATGTAGGAAATCGTCACAACTTGTAAGGTTGCGGATAGGCACTGGTTTCAGGTGATAGGGATGGGAGAACGCTCTCACCATCCCTATGTGAAGGGTATTCTGTTAAAGGAATCCAGGGACTCGATGGTTTGCCCAACCCCTGAGAGGGGGTTGTGCCCGTGCCTGAGTCCAGGGGACATTTGGGTGGTGGAGTTAGCCTGTTCCCAGCTTTCCGCTTATCCAGGTGTTCACCCTTGGCTGACCTATGCTGGAACCCTGGGTCAGCGCTACCTGCATGGCAGGGAGCTAGTCAAACCAGAGCCTATGCAACCAGTCACTTTCTGTAATCAATAAAGTTGTGGCCTAAATTCTGCCAAAAACCAAACCAAAAATTTGACTCGTGTGAATTTATTTAGGGGGGAAGTTTCAGGGTCTGAACATGCAAAAAACCCTTTTGCAATTAATAAGGAAATAAGTGATAAACTTGTGCTAGATTCTACTGTGATTCCAAAGGTGGCTTTTACATCGTGTGAATGCTCAAATATAATGTGGGGATTAACAGACAGGAAAATGTTGTGAAAATGGAATCAACTTCCATGTGAGTGAAGCACTGGTAGATGACTATGCATTTCTTAACAGATGCACCCGTAACAGGGATCTGCTCAGCTTTCTGAAAACTGTAAGCATTCAGTGAATGAACTTGCAGTAAGTTTTTGAGTTGACTTGCTTTTCTGTCATTTGTTAGATGGATGTTGTGTTGCAATGCTAAGAAGTTCCGTGTAGAATCCTGCTGTGCTAAATTTCTCTCAGTCACGCTAATAGCGTTGACCATGTTGTCCTGTCGTGCTTCCACTATTAATAGCAGAAGATCTCATCCCATTTAGTGATGCCTGTATGGTGGAACTTATTTTAGGAGAATGGGTTAATGTTAGACTCGGCCACTCACGCGTCTGATATCCCCAGGATGTGCTCATCTTGTTTTTCAACAGCACAGAATTGAAGACAACTAGATGCAAGTCAAACTACTGGTCTGATTTGAACCAGAGAGTTGTCGAACACCAGAGAGTTGAGAGCTAACTTCATTGCTGTTCCAGGCACAGTTTAGCCCTCTGCACATTGTCAGCTGGTAACATTAGATATGCTGAGGCTCTGATGATAAAAGATATCAAATGGGGCCAGCCCACCTATTAGGCAAGGTGAAGCGACCACCTCAGGTGGCAAGATCCACAGGGGTAGTGGAGCTCCATTCCTTCTTTTTCCTAATGTTGATCTTCACTCCTGCTTTCTCCTTGACCAGGGGGGTGGGCACCATTTTGTGGTTTGCCTCAGGCACCAAAATGTCTTGGGCTGGCCGCAATATCAAACATGCTCATCTGAGTGCTGATTACAATGGGGAGTTACAATGTACACACCCAGGTCTGGCAGACTTGATGTGTTCTTGAAACCTTGAGAATGATTTGTGAATGGTTTTATTTGTAGTTCCTGATAGTAGAACATAGCTCTATTCCAGGTTTTGTAGTCCTTGTATTAATCTAGAATCAGAACATCCAGTTCAAAAGTCTAAGGAGGGATAGCCAAAATGATACCTTCTGAATGTTCCTGGACTACAGTTCCCTTAATCCCTGATCATTGGCCATGCTGGCTGGAGTTGATGGGAGTCGAACCCCAACAGTAGATGGAGTATACCACCAGTTTAGGGGTTTTCTTTTGCCAATTTCATTTGCACACAGGAAACCTGGGATTCCAGTTTCTGCCCGTGCCTAAATTCTTCCTCACATACCTTCTTCTTCTTTTTTTTAAAAAAAAAAACTGGTTTAGAAATGCTTTTAAATAAATAAAAATAAATACTTCCTGTGATGCAACAAAAACACATTTACTTTGATACAGGAAAGAACCACATCAAAACTTTCTGCTCTTATTGCCACCAGCAGTAGTAGTCCAAGGAAGTTTTACCCCCAAGTCTAGGGTGAAAATACATGTCTTTGAAGGTGCTACCGATGTCCTCTGCACCCTATTATATTGGGGTGACATCCAGGAGGAGAGGGTTGTTATGTTAGGAGCTCATCCTACACTTGAGTAGGACCCTGGTAGAGACACATGCTCAACTGGCATGTTCTCTCCCTCCTAGTCGTTCGTTTGGGAGCTTCAAAAGCTTTCTTCAGCCCAAACATCACAGCGACTGATGCCAACAGACACCGGCACACTTAGGGATCCGCAGAGTTTGTGCAGCTTGCGTAACAGACCTCAGCAACCCAGCATTTTGGCTAATCTACTTTATTTACACATAAACACACACAGAGCACTGCAACATGGCTCCCTCTCTCTCTAGCATCAGACAGTAAAGAGGGAAGAACAAAGGAACAATAGTCCCACTTCACAGAACACAGTAACACAAACATCCTGTCTCTGTGACTTCCAACTCTGTGGAGTCAAAACATACAGCATCATGTGAAAGACAACAATCCCATGACTGCAATCATGGAGCAAGAATTCTAACATGTTATTGGTAGGATGTTGTTTGTCTCTTCAGTGCTTTCCAGTAGCCCAAGGACACAGCTGTCCTCTCCAGTAAATGGTCTCAGCTGAGGAACAGAGGCTGCAGCAAAGTATCTTAGCTCAAACAATAGTATGAAAAGATGGCAGCAGTTTTGCCTTCAAGAGTCAGAACAGGCAGCTGACCAGCTTAAGGAATAGCTTCTCTAAGACCCCAAATACCAGCTCACAATTCTCTTGCACCTCTTTTATCTCGGCCCAAACCTAGTTGTTTCAAGCAGAATATGACACCCCCACATTGCTATTTCCTTTCATTCTTGTCCATAGCTGACCTAGAACTGCCTTGTTTCACAGCTGACTAGCTGCAACAAGGGTCCCTTTTAAAACGGCATTTGACATATCCAAATACACCTTGTTTGGGTCTCTTGCAGCTCTGCTCAGTCCTTGTGTCTTGCTGATCAGCCTAAGCCCGTGCATGAGTACAAATATCCCGAGAAGCTACCAGGGGAGCTGTATGATGCTGCCACGCAGTGCAAGTGGCAGTTCGGTGAGAAAGCCAAGCTGTGCATGATGGACTTCAAAAAAGTAAGAACCTGTTTTGTTTCACCACATATTTGTTGTTGTTGTTGTTGTTTAGTTGTTTAGTCGTGTCCAACTTTTTGTGACCCCATGGACCAGAGCACGCCAGGCACTTCTGTCTTCCACTGCCACCTGCAGCTTGGTCAAACTCATGCTGGTAGCTTCGAGAACACTGTCCAACTATCTCGTCCTCTGTCATCCCCTTCTCCTTGTGCCCTCCATCTTTCCCAACATCAGGGTCTTTTCCAGGGAGTCTTCTCTTCTCATGAGGGGGCCAAAATATTGGAGCCTCAGCTTCACGATCTGTCCTTCCAGTGAGCACTCAGGGCTGATTTCCTTAAGAATGGAGAGGTTTGATCTTCTTGCAGTCCATGGGACTCTCAAGAGTCTCCTCCAGCACCATAATTCAAAAGCATCAATTCTTCGGCGATCAGCCTTCTTTATGGTCCAGCTCTCACTTCCATACATCACTACTGGGAAAACCATAGCTTTTACTATACGGACCGTTACTGGCAAGGTGATGTCTCTACTTTTTAAGATGCTGTCTAGGTTTGTCATTGCTTTTCTTCCAAGAAGCAGGATTTATCCCACCCTTAATCCAAGGAGCTCCGGACAATGTGCCTGTGCTATGGAGTGCCGTAACTGAAAAGGTCCTCACCCAAGTAACCACCCACTGGATCTCAAATGGCAGAGGAACTCAAGGAGGTTCTTGGTTTGCCCCTGTGTTGTTTATGTCCTACATTTCTATGCCACTTTTCCCTCTAAGAGCCAGTGTGGTGTAGCGGTTAAGAGCGGTAGACTCGTAATGTGGGGAACCGGGTTCGCGTCTCCGCTCCTCCACATGCAGCTGCTGGGTGACCTTGGGCCAGTCACACTTCTCTGAAGCCTCTCATCCCCACTCACCTCACAGAGTGTTTGTTGTGGGGGAGGAAGGGAAAGGAAAATGTTAGCCACTTTGAGACTCCTTTGGGTAGTGATAAATCGGGATATCAAATCCAAACTCAAACTCAAGGAGCTCAAATGGTAATGTGCATGGTTCTCTCCTCCCGATATAATCCTCAAAACAACCCTGTGAGTAGGTTGGGCTGATCAACAATGACTATCCCAAGGTCATCTTGTGAACTTCATGGTTTAGTGGGGGTTCAAACCCTGGTCTCTCAGAGCATGTTGTTAAGCCATTTAGTCGTGTCCGACTCTTCATGACCCCATGGACCAGAGCACGCCAGGCACTTCTATCTTCGCTCAGACCATAGTACAGCACTTTAGCCATTACACTGCACAAGCTTCAGCCATCTAGTAGATTGATATTTTGATGTGAGATTATGTGGGCAGAAGCCCCATAATTTTGGTCAAATGTACCTCCACATGGAGGTGTTACCCACTGAAAATTATATAGTGAGTCAACTGACCATGGACATGATCAACTGCATGAGTTTGCTCTTTTTTAGTTGCAACAGTGGATGCATTCAGAAATTAAATGCCGACTTCAGTTTGTTGCCATTATCCCCCATTTAGGATATTTGCAAAGCATTGTGGTGCCATCGGATCGGCAGAAAATGTGAAACCAAATTCATGCCCGCTGCAGAAGGTACAACATGTGGATATGACATGGTAAGGAAGGTTTGTTTTGTTTGGTGTGGAAATGGGGATGGTGACAAAAGAGAATGGGATTGTGGGAGTGGAAAATCAGGTGACCTCCATCATCCCTGACCATTGGCTATGCTACTTGGGGATGGTTGAGGGTCACAGACTCCACATCCCTGGAGTAAAGGGTATTCTCTCTGCGGGCCTCTCAGGACTTTTATAGCGTGGTGGTATCAGGGATGGTTTTACTCAGTCCCACTGTCAGCATTGTTGGTCCCAGAAAACAGTATTCTGTTTCAGGCCAGACATGCTGCTTCATTTCCAGTCAGTGCAGGTAAACTGCCTGCTGAAATCCTGTAACATTTTATATCTGAAATGCTCTGGTTTATTTTATTTTTTTGCCTTGCTTTTGCTGTTCAGGAGTGCCCCTCTAGTGCAAAAGCATCACATAGCAGCTAGTAAAGGAGAATGGTGGGTGGGTGGTCGAGTATAACACTAATGTGCTGTTATTGCATCAATAACATGTTGCAAAATACACCTGTTAAAAAAACCTTGTAACAATAAAGAAAAATAAAGGGCCCTTTGATACCTTTTCATCACAAGATGCAGTACATTAAACGAGTAAACTTCCATTCACAATTTACTAGGAAACCCCCATGTCCTCTAATCTTAGCAAGAGGGTTATCCGTTTTCACATATGTAAACCAAAGGTATCCTTACTTTTCTTGCAGAGCTGTTTCATATTCCTGTTCATTTCATACTCCATGCAACATATCAAAAGCAAGTTTGAACTTAATAGTAATTCTAATATTTCAAGGCCCAATTTAAATATTCATTGTTGCCATGTTGCTGCCATTAAAAATCAGGATTCCCCACTACTGTGAAAATGTTTTATCTACTGAAAAGGATCGAATAGATTACTGGGGGGGCACATTAGCATCACTGGGCCCTAGGTGGAGCTTCAACCATTCAACCACCATTTTGATGGCAGCCACACCACAAAGAAAACTCTCTTCCATACCCTATACTGTTTCTGCCTCCTCGTTGCTTCTCTACCCTCCCAATCTCCTGAGATCTACTAAGCTATTCATTTAAGTAACACCATTTAGTCACTAGAGGTACAAACTTCAAATTATGTGTGGGCCACCTTTACATTTTAGTAACACAAGGTGGCCATGCTGTTAACTCCGAGGGTGTGTTTTTCTTTCCAAATTAACCAGCCCCCCCCATTCATTCTGTATTAATTAGCAATTGTGTTGTGCTTTTTAAGTGTTAATGTGAGGTACAGGTTGGCACCCTGCTGGAGAAGGGAAGGGGGCTTAAACCCTACTGTTTACACTAGAAAGGTGCCCCATTTGTACTCTTATTCAAGGAAATCTGGGAGACCCGATTCAGCCTAGGTCTATAGTGGGGAGCAAAGGGTTGAAGGTCACCTCCTTCCCTCACCAGAATCTCGACACTTAAAAAAAACCCACTATTCATTTGTTGTTGTTTAGTCATTTAGTCGTGTCCGACTCTTCGAGACCCCATGGACCAGAGCACGCCAGGCACTCCTGTCTTCCACTGCCTCCCTCAGTTTGGTCAAACTCATGCTAGTAGTTTCGAGAGCACTGTCCAACCATCTTGTCCTCTGTCGTCTCCTTCTCCTTGTGCTCTCAATCTTTCCCAACATAAGGGTCTTTTCCAGGGAGTCTTCTCTTCTCATGAGGTGGCCAAAGTATTGGAGCCTCAGCTTCACGATCTGTCCTTCCAGTGAGCACTCAGGGCTGATTTCCTTCAGAATGGATAGGTTTGCTCTTCTTGCAGTCCATGGGACTCTCAAGAGTCTCCTCCAGCACCATAATTCAAAAGCATCAATTCTTCGGCGATCAGCCTTCTTTATGGTCCAGCTCTCACTTCCATGCGCCACTACTGGGGAAACCATAGCTTTAACTATACGGACCTTTGTTGGCAAGGTGATGTCTCTGCTTTTTAAGATGCTGTCTAGGTTTGCCACTATTCATAGAGTTGCTAATTTTAGTGTAAATTCAGGCCAGTGCTAATTGCACAAATGGTGCCGTATTTAATTTGGCCCTGCTGCAAAACTGCCACCACCTCTTGCCACACTCCCCTATGGAGAGGAAGAGCAATGCAGACCTGGTGATGCAGGGATTTTTTGTCTCCCCTCTTCACATTTTTGATGGGCTTTGTGTGGCTTACATGTTTCCATAAAGAGGTGAGAAAGGGCTGCAAATAATCCACTAATCCAAACAGATTAAAGTAGTTGACTCGAAGGAGGGATAGATCCAGTTCCTAGAAGAAGAAATATCATATCACTCTTCTTTTCCAAACTGAACTGTTGAGTCATTTGACTCCAGACTAGATTTTAAGGATATCATACACAAAGCACTTGTCAAGATGAATGCAGACAGACACAGTTTAAGATCTTCACATCAAAGTGAACATGTGCTTTTAGGTTAAATTGGGTGTAATCCTGACTGACATCCCCAAGAGAAGTGGTGGGTGCAGTTTTCATTTTATTTTTGTCCAAGAATAACAGGCAGGGACAATTAATCTCAAATAGATTACTTCACCTATAAATCAGATGGTATACTATGTACAGTCCATTTGCTTCCCTTGCTGAATTCTCCTGTTTTCAGTTTCTAAAGTTTCACTTGCCGTAAATCGTAACTCACTCTCAAAGCAAAAGGGGTCCATGCCTGAGATTAATCCATAACAATAACAGAGAAATCTAATGAGGTGGCTGTAGATAGTTACTTTGAAATGTAAGAATACCAGTGCCTGGTCCAGTAAGGGTAATTCACAGAAAAAAGCAGGCTTGTGCATTCATCCAAATACAGAACTTACATATCAGAACTGTAGTACTTTCAAACGGGTGAAGATTCTAATGTACTTCCCTAACGGGAATGCACAGATTGGCCATAACGGAAAATGCCTGCGTACAGCTGTGCACCTGAAACATGCTCACCATCTCTGATCCATGCACAGAATCCTGCTTCCGCGCATGGATTACTATCTCTGGATCAGGGTGCATGTGCTACACAGAAGGCATTCACAGCAGAATTATATTAGCAAGCTTTCTCAGTATTTCTTCATCTTACATTTTACATATGAAGAGTCAGTTACGGGTGCGAGTCCTGCTGAAATTTAGGAAGGCCGTTTTGTATGTTGGGTACAGTGAGTAAAACCAATGGATTTCATTTCTTCCATTCATGGCTCGCCTCCCCCTGCTCTCTCTACCAGTCCAGCGCATAATAATAATATTTATTATTTATTATTTATTATTTATTATTTATTATTTATTATTTATTATTTATTATTTATTATTTATTATTTATTATTTATTATTTATTATTTATTATTTATTATTTATTATTTATTATTTATTATTTATTATTTATTATTTATACCCTGTCCATCTGCCTGGGTTTGCCAAGCCACTCTGGGCAGCTCTCAACAGAATATTAAAAGCGCAATAAAACATCAAACATTAAAAACTTCCCTAAACAGGGTTGCCTTCAGATGTCTTCTAAAAGTCAGATACAGTAGCACCTTGGCTTATGTTACTCTTGGGTAACGTAAACTTCAGGTTGCGAAAGTGGCAAACCCGGAAGTGTTTCGCCCCACGCGCATGCGCAGAAGCGCTTTACCGCACCACGCGCATGCACAGAAGCAGTCTGCCGCTGTGCGTGCATGTGCAGAAGCGGTCCTTATGCTTGCGGAAACCTCAGGATCTGACCAGAGCTTCGGAACAGATCCCGTCCACAACTGGAAGTACCACTGCAGTTGTTTATTTCCTTGACATCTGATGTGAGGGCATTCCACAACGCAAGCACCACTGCCAAGAAGGCCCTCTGCCTGGTTCCCTGTAACCTCACTTCTCACAGTGAGGAAATCGCCAGAAGGCCTTCAGAGCTGGTCCTCAGTGTCTGGGCTGAACATTCAGTGTCACTACTGAATGTTTACTGATGCAAAATCTCCTGAATTCCTCACTCCTATTTTGGCTAAGTCAAAGTGGTGGTGTGAGAGGCCTACATCTTCATACAGGATTGTATGGGTGTATGCGTGAGTTACACATTATGACTGATGAGCAAAGGCAAGCCATGTCTGGAAGTGAAGCAACTTGCCCTGACCTATCTCCTTGTTGTGTCTTGGTGTCACCCACTTTGCCTCAGACATGTACATTTTGTGCCAGGGATGGGGGAACTGTGGCCCTTCAGATGTTGTCAGACTCCAGCTCCCACCAACCCCAGCCAACATAGCCGATAATGAGGGATGGTCTGACAATATCTGGAGAGCCACATTTCTCCCCGGGACAAATAGTTCAGTTCTGGTGGAAACACATAAGCCTTCCCATGTGGAATGTAGCAGACTGGCTTGTCGATAGAGGGGGTTCCCTTTTGTGGCTTTGAAAGGAAGGGTATTTTTGATCTCACGTGCCAGGAACTTAGTTTTGTGGATGGGTGAGGGAACCTCCATGCAGTGGATTGCAAATAGCTTTCATTGTATTTCTGAAGGGAGAGGCAATTGGAGGCAAACTTCCCTGGACTTTGATTCGCTGCTCCTAGCATTGTGCAATTGCATAGGAGTTTTGGAACCAAACTATTCAGATAATTTAAAAAATTGTGGCTTTATCAACTGCCAGTGGATTTCTTTAGGATTACTTTTTTAAGTTATCCTTATCATATTCTAAGGAAATCACATATGGAAGTAGTTTATCCAACATTAGCAACTGAAATGGCAAAGATACAGAAATCTCCAGTTCTACCACTGATTGATGAGTGGATTCTGGGATGTTGGGAAATAATCAGGTTAAGTGAATGATTAAAAAATTGTGAGAATTGGAGTCAGCCAGCTAATCAATAGCAGCTTTCTATCTAAGTGGATTAAATCCATATTATCTTGGGTGTTAGATACTATAGAATTATTGCTTTCTTCTTTTAGATAGCGATGGCAGTATGTTAAATAATCTTGGATATTTCCCCTCATATTATTTTTATAGTTATTTTATATTATAATACTACACA